AGGGGTAAAGTTTATAAAGAGTTTTTAATATTTTTGAAAAAAAAAAAAAAATGAATTTGTGTTTTATTCGTGCGTCGTGACTTATCGAATATGGATGTCCTTTCTAGGTATTTTTGACATTTCGGACGCGCTGGCGCGGTCTGTTTCGCCGTCGGAGGTCATTTTGACGAATTCATCGATTTGCTTGCCAATTTTCTCGTGTCGAAAGTATGACAATATGGGTGTCTTTTCCTACCAAAATTGGTATCCCAGACGCGTTGGCGCAGTCCATTTTGTCGTCGGAGGTTATCCAGAGAAGTTTGCATTTTCACCCATCCTTTAGGCTCAATTGAAGACCGACCTCATGCAATTTTGTGAATTTTGTGCATTTAATGTGTGTACGTGACGAAAAAAGTCATGACGATGTTTTCCTAGGGCCTGAAATCCTATTGGGAACTTTTTCCTGAGTCTTCACATAATAACCCTTAACCGCTCGTACATAAGACGATGAATTTGTGCTATAAATGCTAGAGATCACAGAAAAAATAGGAAGTGTTTTTTTGGAATTTCTAAAATGATGGGTATCAATTCTAGTTTTCTAAGATAGTCAATAAGAAATCATAGAGCTAAATCCTAGGATCCTAGGATCCTAGGATCCTAGGAAAATGTAATGACCTTGAAAATAAAGTCAACAAATGGAAGGAGGAACAACACACGTGTTAGATTTACCATTTCACAAAATTAATTATGGTAACCTAAAATAAGAACGACTACTCATGGACAAGAAATGACTTCTTACATACATCACACTATTTAAAATAAATTCATTTTGCATAACCATCCAAAGCATATATATTCTGAATATTAATAAGAGCCATATGCATGGAAATCATTGGACTATACAATGAACTAATAGATCTATACATAAATATGGCATTTAATATAACAATCACTTTTATGGGATAGATTCGAGTGATCAGAATAGTTGTCATAACATTTGATGTCCTAGGTATGATCGAAGTATTTAAATATTATCATCTTTATCGTTGATCACATCTTAAAGTGGTTTGGATTTTAGATTATGAGTATAACTATACTTTTCATCTTAGGAGCCCTTATAATATTATCATGTAGTAAACCTAACTTGTCTCTATTTGATAAATAACTAGTCAACACAAGCAACGTGTACCTCCTGTGTTTGCTAATTTTAGTGACTCTTATTGCACGAGTCGGGCACAACTCATAGCCTGCCATCTTATTGGTGACAATATTTGATTCATAAACATGTGGGTAGGTTGTAAATGAACCAATGCACTTGATGAACTACTTGAACTCGACTCAATTAATATTAAAACATGTTTGTTCGAATTAGTAAATAAAAAAGTTTGAATAATTTTTAAAAACTTGAAGCTTAAATGAATCAAATTTGGACATAGTACAACTCATCTGCTAATGTTCTTAAACAAACTCATTTGTTGTTTAAAATTAACTTATAAAATGCTCTATACCTATAAGATATATTATTTATATAAATTTGATTAACTAAAACTTATTTAATAATAACATACTGTAATTTAATATCAATATGCTCATAAATTTGATGCAAAATTTTTTATTTTAATAAACTAGTTTATTAGTACTTATTTGTGTTATTTGATTGCAAGAAAACTTACTTACAATTTATATTTTATTTTATTTATTTATTATAAAATAGTTAAATGTTTTAAAAAATATTCAATTGCTTATTTAATTAAATTCTTAAAATCATTTATTAATAGTATTATATAAAAAATTAAGTACTCATTCAAAATTTTAATTTATTTTCTAGATTTATATATAAAATTAAATACTCATTCAAATTTTTTGTTCTTCAATTAATATAAACAAATCAAGTACATATCAAGTATGAACATAAAAAGTTTTAAGCAAGCTAAATATGAACATATATGTGAAAGCTCGTCTCAAGTTTGAATTGAACATGAATAACTTATAATTCGATCAAGCCAAGTCGAAATAATGACATACTCGACTCGGCTCGATTAAAACCCTACATGTGAGCACAAGACATTCCCAGTTGGCTATATTATATATCTTGTTATTATTATTATTATTTGCATACACTATTATTTAATAGCTTTATTACTAGGAGCATTTGACCTTCAATTGCATCTCAAAATCATAAAATAGCATTTGGAGATTAAAACCATGAACTGATCATAACACTTTAAGACATGATAACATTACATGTATAATATATATCAATAATAATTTTTATATCGGTTCTCAGATTTCTTGTGGATTTGCAATTTTGAATTTTTTTTATCATTTAGATAGAATGAACTTTGTTTGATGATTTGCATCGAAGGATATTATTTTTGCTTAAATTAATGATTGGAAATTAGGAATTATGAATTTTTATGTTTTTCATTGTGCATCCCATTCTAAACGTTGCCTTAATAAATTATGGAGTCCCACATAACCTGTATGTTGCATCTAGAAATTGTGTTTTGATGGCTTGGGTGCCTACCTGAGCCACTCAAATAAATAAGCTGAAAATAATGGAGAGTAACTAAAAAAGTTATGATGTGGTTAGTGTTGTTGGACAGTCCGTGAACCTGAAATGGGCAGCTCACCATAGGGATTAAATAGTGAGGAGATTTCACTGTTTTCTTAAGTAGGTCAGAACCAAAAACCTAGATGACTTACCTGTTGGAAAAATTGTTATATGCCAGTGTCTTCTGCTTGATTTTTTTGGATGATTTATGTTGAATAAATCAGCTTTATTTATTTTCATTAGCATAAAATAAATTGACACAATGCAGCCTGCAAAGCTCAGATTGGCATGCCCAATTAGCTAGCTCTAAAAATTTGAATTCAGAATATGCGATATTTCAATTTTTATCTCTTAATTGGAACATCTTAGTTTTTGTTAGTACTTCAATGAGCATCATAATTTAGTTCTATCATTATCAGGGCTCATAATTTTCTCAGAGTATAACTACGTTAGATGTGGCATCACTTGTTGATAATGCATCCAATTGAGTTTTCAAGAGCCAATGCGCTGGCATGTGGCATGCATGCAGTATTTTTAAATATTCAAATTATATTAATAATCATTAATATTTTAATGCATTAATAATAATTTTAATGCATCAACAATTTAAGAGAAATGGCTTCATAAAGCAAAAATGGCATGATTACATATTAAGAGCATAAATTTATCAAACATGCATACAATGTAAATCTAAGATGATAATCTAAAATACCGATTTAAGTAATGATTTATAAAGATTAAATTCAAATGGTTTCGGCTGACAATTAATTTGGTTTTAGCTTGCTGAAATGAAGCAATTTTTTTTTTTTTAAATTTTAAAGTTGATGGCTAACAGGCTATGTAAGGCCACCGAGACATTACCAACTTTAATCAAATTAAATAACTTATCTATAGTATATGATTTTAAGTATATTAAATGCAAATTCGGGTTCAGGTCAAGCTTTTTCTAGTCAGATCAATTTCGGATTAACCCGATCCAAAAAATTAAATGGTTTAAGACTTTTAACCCGAACCTGACCAAAAAATTATTTTGTTCAACCCGAACTAGATTCGAGTCAAGTTGACGTGTCAAATCAATTTTTTACATCCCTAAGCATGCTCCATGTCCATTATTTCATAATGCATATGTAGCAAATAAATCACGTACATGCACCATGTATCACTTAAGGTGATCAGAATGTGCCACATTCAGCTTTTCACTCTAGCAGGTGCTATTTTGCACCGTTTATGACCATTCATTATGACAATCAGGCTTGGTAAAAAGCCTTTTGATACTGGAACTAGTTCAAAAATCAGTAGAAACTAAGATAAAATCTTATTAGCAGCTGAATTAGGGTTTCATACAATTCAAAACAGAAACATGGCACGACCCAACAACAACAACCGTCTACGACTAGGACTGGAAGCGAAGATCTGAGGGCGGTGGTGGTGTCAGCGAAGTGGCAAGGGGAAAGGGAAGGGTTGAGGGTTGTAGGATAGGTTGGAAAGAGGGCTAGTGGCTGATTTGAGGGTTAGAAGCATGGGGCGGTAGGGAGAGGTGTAGGGGAAGAAAGGGGAG